GGGGGGGGGGAGGGAGCAGGCTGGGGTTATACATTTATTTGTTTTTTGTCTGTAATAACGGTACTAAACCATGGCATAAAGAAAGGTTGGCCAACTAAGGCACAAGTGCCACAATTTTACATGGGAAGCCACTGTGCATAGTATGTGGCAGATCAGAGAGGGGAGAGGCAGCACAGGAACAGATAGGGCAGGGAGCACAGAGAAGAGAGCAGAAAGCAGAGCAGGAGATTGTGTAGAGAAAAGGGATTGAAATGGCACTCAGGGAGGGTGTGGAGCTAGCTTGTGGCACACCTGCCAAGATGGTTGATGCTGGTGGTTTCACGCTGGTGAAAAACAATCGTAGGTTTGGTCATGCTTTGGCTGCAGCAGTAATAATCCCACGAAATCCTGATCCACAGTAGTCAGGAGTTCTTGTTAAACCAACTGCAGGATGGACAAACTATGTTTGTATTATGTGCTTTGTTTGATTTCAATCTCTAAAATTTGCTGGTGTGACTTTTACTTATTATTGGCAACTGGAATTTACACCTATATTTAAGATTTGCTAATAGTTTCTATTAATCAACTTTTGGCAATTATAATTGTCCCATATTTTAAAATCTGTTCAGGTTACTTTTTCATGTCCTCCTCAGACTGTATTAATTTGGAAAGTTTCAACTAAAATAGATAAGTCATTTCTAATAGAAGCCTTAAAGGGAAAAAAATATTCTGCCCATGATACAAAATTACCACCATTTTACAAGGAAGCTTTGTCACCTCTGTGCTTTGAAGCAAGGACTTTAAATTTAGCAGATAGTCAGAAATATACTTCTTGCTGTCCTTGTGAAAATCTGCCATGTTATAAACCTCCGAAGAAGCCCAGGTTCACACACCCTCAGTAGAAGTTCAGTGGAAGCTGTTTCTATTATTCTCTGAAAAGTCCATTTTGTGAGGGCCCATCCCCAAACAGGTCTCACTCTTGATTACACTGCTTTACCCTAGGGAGTGGAGGTTGAGCAGGAATTCTTGTACAATTCTATTGGGCACTGCAATGATGGGAAAAGAGACTGTGTTTATTCTTCTCATTTAATTATTTGCACCACGTTGTCCTTCCAGTGCCCCAACAGCTAGTGCCCAATAGAACTGGAAGAAAATGAGGCTCAGCCTCATTGGCTTCAATGTTGAGAGAATGGAGACTGAAAGGGCTGGGCACACAGGCCTGGTGTCAATGGGGAGTTTGTGAAACATACTGGCACTTTCTAGAGGTCCGCCCTCACAGAGGCTAACTAGCCTATTGGTACAACCAGTAATACCATTTCTTCAAGTGGCAAATGTCCGTGCTTTGGTTTTAAAGATACCAATCCTAGTGATGAGTGCTGCTGAAGTCAGTGTCATTCCCTAGTATGCGATTTGTTTGTTTTTTGCTTTCAGTTTGCTTATATAGCAACAGGAACTTGCACACAAATAAACTTTATCAAACAACATTCAGGTTGCAAAGTCAAGCACTTAGACATTAGAAAATGCCAGAATTGCAAAGTTTAAGTGACTTGACCAGCTTGCCATCAGAACTCATTGGCAGAGGTAGGGTTATATTTCCATTCTCCCAAACTTAATTCATTTAAAATATGAGACCATTTCTCTCTGGTTGGTTTCCTGCTTCATTCACGTTCCAGCTTCCACAACCAGTTGATGTCTGTCCTACAGACAACAGCCTCCTTTATGATACCATTTTGATATATTCCCAATGTACTCTCCAGCCACTGCACTGATGGAGATAGGTGGAAAAAATAGAACATGATCATTTCATACAAATTAGTGTCTGCAGAATGAACAAGAAGACTAAACTAAAACTGAATAGGCAGCTTTTACTCTGGCATTTCCTAAGTTTTAAGTACTTGAGTTTGCAAATTGTATTTTTAAAGTTGGTTCTTTTAATATGATCAATTGTAAGAAATTAAGAGTTTGTATCCAAATAGCAATGTTCCTTTTAAAATTAAAATATATTAATGTGTTATTTTTCAAATTATGGTCAGGAGTCTAACTTTGGCAACATCTTTTACAGGAAGAGTGCTTCTCTGGCAGCTGGTGTTCCTAAGCTTGGTTATCACGTCCAGTCTTCTCACAAGTATGTGCCCAGGAGATCTGTGCTGTATGTACCTGCAGATGATAAAAGAAAGATACAGAAAATCCCATCGCTCAAAGTAGATTGTGCTGTATTGGACTGTGAAGATGGTGTGGCTCTGAACAGAAAGGTAACTAATATATTATTTGTGGAATGCCACATAATCAGTGCTATACAAACCATACTGCACTAGCCCTTGGGGGTGTTTATATTTCAAAGAGACAAAAGCAACTGGTAAGATACCATATAACCACTAAAGAGTTTCTTCATGCAGCAATGGTGTATATTTTGAGTGGGTTAGTGGTTACTAACATTGAAAGACTTCTGGCAGGCTTTTGAATACCCCATTTACCTAGACTGAGTAAGAATTTTAGATAAACAAGTGGGCCACAGCTTGTTGAAGGTACACAGAACCACAATAAGTCCTTGGCCATGAACGTCTTGAAGATACTTAGAGGTATTTGGTTTTCTGCAGAGCAGGAGGAGGGGGAATGAGAAAGGAAGAAAGTAGTTCAGAGTTAGTAGGTTTTTTGTTGAAGTGAAAGGGTTTATAGTTTGAGAGATGCATTGGGTGCATCTACATGTGCTGATTTAAGGCACATTAAGAGTGTGGGTCTTCACATGTGCATCCTTAATGCACCTTAAAAATGGTGATTTTAGGCTATTCATGCCTAAATTTAATACCTGCAAAAGCAGGTATCAAATTTAGGAGTGAATAGCTAAAGCACCTTAATACGTGTAGAAGCACTTAGGTGCATTAATGCTGTATATGTTGATGGATTTGGGACTACTTTTAGTCCCAAATTGGTCCGCCCACTGCATTAATGTGCCTTAGCGTGTGCATGTGTAGACATGTGCCTAAATTGCCTTAATGCACATTAGGCAAATGTACATTAAGTTTAAGCATGCGTAAAAATGTGTAGACACACCCTTTGTGTAGCAAATGTGTATGTATGGGTTTCTGGGAGTGGGGAGAGCAGATTAGATTATTACTTGGACATGTAGGGGATTGGATAGCTTTTTCAGGTGTTGGCTTTATGGAAAAAGTTATGCTATATGTGAAAGAAGAAGGCAAATTTCCTTGCCTGCTTTTCCCATAGTCTGTGCTGCAGTACATTAAGGCAGAATCCTATTTCTTCAAGTGGATAACCAAAGTGTAGTTTGACATTGACTCCAAGTTGCTATTGTGTAGGAGCAGGGACAGATTCAGGAGTGGTGTGGCAGTGTGATGGCACCCCCTTTTTACTGCATAGCGCAGCAAGCTCTCCCACCCCTGGCTAATGGGGGGTAGTGTGGGGATTCAGGCAGGGAACAGACACAGAAAGCAGCCAAATCTAGCACCCCAGGCAGCTGCTTTTCCCAGCTGGAACCTCCTGGGCCTGTAGGGAACCAAGGGGCTGGGCAGTGAGCAGGCACATGGAGGGAGGGTAGAAGGAACCCCAGGGCTGCTTCTGCCCTGCTCCAGCCAGGGCTGCCAAGAGTGGCTTTGGAAGGATGCCAGACTAGGCTGGGGATGACCACAAGTGGGTTCCCCAGTCCAGCACCTGCAGGAGTGGGCAGGGAGTAGGCACAGGAATGGGTGACCTGCCCATTGCCACTGCTGCTATCCCTGGCCAAACCCAGCACCCCACGCAGATGTCTCCAGTGGCCCCTGTCTGGACCAGGGTCAGGAGTGGCCTTGGGGCTTCCCACACCTTGGGTCAGCTGAGGACAGCAGCAAGTGGGTTCTTTCTTTCCCACTTTCTGCTCTTGCTCCCTGCCTGACTCCCCTGGGTTTCTCCCACTGGTTTACAGGCTCCAGCCATACCTTGCCCCCAGCCTCAGCATTGTCTGACCTGTAGCACCGGTTGCATCTGCTGTATCCCCCTTTTCATAGAATCAAGGATTTTCTATATCTTTGATCTGCCTTTGTGTAAGAGCATGCTGTCACCCCATCTGGGCAAGCAAATGGGCAAGGGGAATTAGAGGCTTCTTCTCCAGAGATGCACAGATATCTACTTTTCCTCTAATAAGGTCACTTACATGCTTCTGCACAATAGCCAGGTAGTTCCATTAATTTCCAGCTGTGTTTTGGTCGTTGTCTGTGGCCCTGGGCCAGATCCAGACTGTGCATGAGGGCTCACACAGTGACCAGTGCAGCATGAGTCCAGGGGTGGCAGAGGACCATGCTCACCCATGATGGCCATGCCCAGAGGGGCCAAAGGATACCAGATTCTGTGGCAAGCCATGCCCCCAACTTCTGTTGCCTGCCAGTAGCCCAGTGAGACAGACGAAGAGGTTCTGCAAACCTGAGCTGGCCCACAGGCCATAGTTTGACCCAACCTGCACTAGGTGAAACCGAATTCTGCCCTAAGAGTTTCTACCTGTGGGAACATTACACTGAAGATGGGGAGAACAGACTTGAATCTTTTCCAAATTATCTTAAAAACTTTAATAAGGTCTCATTCTTATTGTCCAGAGTTCTTTCTTCCTAACAGGCTTTTCATAATTCTTATAGGAAGTTTAACCTATGAGGTGTCCCAAGCATATCAGAAAGAATAACATGCTACCATCTATCATAGTGGCTTTAGCAGTTCATTTAAAATCTAGGTTTTGAAAAGTGAAAATTGTTTTGGTGTACTTTCCAGTGTGTCCATACAGTTTTTGAGCAATACTTGACAACTAGGGAAATGTCATATAAGAGATAGCTGAGAAGAGACATGAATAAAAAGAACCACTGTAACTACTGTAGTAGCAGACTTGTATTGCTTGGTTCATATTTGGGAGGTTATAACTGTAAGATGACAAATGAGACACAACTCTGTTCAACTGTTATTTTTATGTGCACATCAAGTAAAACAATGGTAGAAGCATCTATTTATAGAAGAGAATAATAATGAAATAAAGTTTACTATCAGGATGGCAAAGATAGCAAAAAAATCTCTAAGCCTGAAGCTCTGGCACCACTGAAAGTAATGAAAGTTTTGCCAGGGATGACTTCAACCTGTAACAGTTGAAATTGATGACAAGTTCCATAATAAAAATTTCATAGAGTTCATCGACATTAGGGCTGGAAGGGACCCCGCAAGATCATCAGGTCCAGCCCCCTGCCCAAAGGGCAGGCAGTCAGCAGGGGTCAAATGATCCCAGAAAGATAGGTCTCCAAGTGTTTCTTAAAGGAATCCAGAGTAGGTGCCTGCACCACCTCTGTGGGGAGTATATTCCAGGGCCAGGGAACTCGGACAGTAAAGAAGTTTTTTCTTATGTAACACCTGAGTCCAGATCATTTATAAACACATTGAAGAGTACAGGTTCAAGAACGGAGCCCTGGGGGACGCCACAGGTTACAGTGCACCAAGTTGATTCGGTTCATCAACTATTGATGGTCTCTCCATCAGCTATTGACGGACATTCTGGGTCTGTCCCTGGAGCCAGTTCCCTAGCCATCAGACTGTGAAATTGTCTAGGCCTTAGTTCCCCAATTTTTCCATGAGGACTTCATGTGACACCAGGTCAAAGGCTTTCCTGAAGTCCAAAAATATGATATCCACCTCTTTTCTCCTTTGTCCAGGTGATGCATCACCTGGTCATAGAAAGAAATCAAATTTGAGTGAAAACATGATCTTGTAGTAAAATGTACAAAAAAATCAGAGTCTCAGTTTCTCTAGATCTTAATAATTTTGAGGCCTAACTCATTAATGTTTATAAAGCATTCTTAGACCAGATGAAAGAGGCTATTGTAGCATACACTGTCAATACAGTATTTGGTGCTACATTGAAACTCAAACAGTTGGAACAATCTAAAGAAAATTGAACAAATGTATCAGTCTTTGCTTTTCTTGAATTGGCTACCAAAATATGGTAAATACAAGCAATTGTGTACTGATTATGATATTGTCATACTTAAACCTCTGTGAATTTTTTGCAGCTGCTACAAAAATATTATTGTTCTGCTGATATTAAGTAGCCTAGTTGCAGTAGTTAGGTACAGTTTACCGAGTATCTCGTACCAAGCTTACATTCATTCACTATGTTTTTACTTGCATGAAGGCCAAACAGAAAGCTTGAACCTCACCATATCAAACTTGCTTTATAAGATATGTAGTGTGTGTTCTTGTCTCAATCCATTTTACTTGTTCATTACAGATAGTGAGAGAGGGGAGCTCTCCAAATTCTGAATTAGCAAACTTCAGAATTTACAGCAAATATAGCAGTTTTTCATATACCTGTAACAGGTGATTAGTACAATTAATTTATTTAAATGCAGCATGTATTTTTTTCCTAGAAAGGTCTTCTAATGTCTCTTGGAGACCTCAAATTAAGGGGAAGGCATTTTATTTGCCTTTATCAGCATACCATTTTGGAGTCAGCTGGGGTGCATTTCTTCCTGCCATCAAGGCAACTAACAGCAGTCACCAGACTGATAGTGGTATCTGATGCTGCCTGTTGGTCCTTCCTTCTATACCATCTATTGCTGACTGTTGTTCTGATTGTACCAGGAATAGTTACAGCAAGAAGTTCATGAGGAGAAAAATGTCTCAACATTTAATGAAAGAAGAGAAAGAAAAGGCTGGAAAACAAAGCAAACAATGTGCTGAGTTCAACACTCGTTGTGAGAAGACAGAAGCTGACCCTCTAGGAGCATGGCACTTACTTTAGACTTGTCTAACATGCCTATCCTCACCTTGATTGGGCCTATTATATCAGCTTCAAAAACTGCTGTATGAAAGAAGGTACTATGTTCTTACCCTCCCATTTCTGCAGAGAAAGTGCCCTAACCATCAAGCTAAAAACTAGGACATCCTCCATCACTCCTCTTGAAGCTGAGCCGCTAAGGAGAAAGGACTGTGAAGTCATGGGGATAAGAAGAAAAGAAAGCGAAAGGGGGGGCTGACAGTAGCCCAGTGACTTGGGCACTTTCCTGGGAAAGAGGGACACTAGATTTGGGGCTTGCTCCCAGTGATTTTTATGCAGTTCATTCAATGATTATTTAATACAGAATTCCAAGACTCCAATCCAGGGACCTTGTTCTTTTATTCTTTTAGGACAGTGATTCTCACAGGGTACGCTATGAAAGCAACAAAAGTATGCCACCAAAACTGACACTTTTACTTTTTTTCTTGTTCTTTTTTTGGTATTTTAAGCTGTGGG